ATAATTGTAAAAAAAGACGATTGTTTGTACGTTGCCCCTAGGCATCGATTGTAAAGTCTAGTGCGACGGATTAAAAAATATTAAAAGTTATTGAACGATTTATTGATGAAATAAAGTTTTGTAAAAAAAAAATTCCGTCTTACACTTATTACTTAAATTTAATTTCTTGTACAAGTAACGATAGCAATGCTGTCACCCTTCAAACTAAAATGATGAACATCATGTATATCCATGCACATATAAATACGTATGTATACATATGATATTCTCAGTGTCGGTTAGACACTCGTACGGCCCGTCGAGTGCGTTCACTCAGATTTGTGAGTGAACGAAATTTGTTCCTCTGAAAGCTGAGTGAGCGCTCGGTATTCACTCAGCTACGTGGGTGTCGACACGCCACCACGCGGCTGAACGCTAAACGTACACTGTGCACGTAAATGGAAAGTATATCTCAGTGTAGTTAAATATATATAACATATACTCGGTTGCAGTCACAGAGAAAAACTCGTGTCGTCGATTGCTTTGGCTGTGCTTTCAGATACATAGCTATAGTCAACATATATACTCCTCTCCTCGTAGGCACTTATTCGGTATACCCCTTCTCCGTGTCGCCAAAATGTGCGCCTATATGCTCATTTCCACGCGAATCCACTTCTCTTCTTGTAGGCGTACGCTCTTTGATACGAGTCTCGCACTCTCGAAAAATGTGCGCCTTGGTGCGACGGCTGGCCGCGGCGGGTCGCCCCGATCAGTGGAAAAAAGTTGTCTCACGCCGTAGCATTGGCGTTAGCAATCTTTCTACTTATCTCTGGTTCAAATACTGGTCGAGATGGCACTTTTTTTCAATTGCTACGTTTGACAATTTTTCTACAAATCGGAGTTTTAACAGAAAAAATTGAGTTACCTTGGCAATCTCGTACTAGATGGGAAATGTTGAAGACTTTAATTACTCACATTAATACTTACCCATCGATAAAATCAGATTTATTTCTAACATTCTTATACTCCACTAATATTATCTAGAATTTTCATCGGAAAGTTAATATAGATACTCATTTTAGATTGGTCAAATCCGTTAAATGTTGCCTTATCAATACTGTCATACGTCTTCATTTCACCTTTCATCTTATTTAAAGAATTAATGAGAAATACTAGTTCCCCTTATTTTCTTTCCCGATTTTTTTCTCCCCTCCCCCTCAGTTCTCCTATACCACACCTTAATTTGTTCTTACTCCTGCTCGCCTCTCCTCCCTTATTCTCTTTTCACGCTTTTTTTGAGTAAGTAAAACATTTTTTTTTTTTTAAACGAAATTTTCTGTGAGTTATCAGTTTTTTGTACATAATCAATATTTGTAGGTGTAAATAAATTAATCGATCTACGACACTTGTCCTTTATTTCAATAATTTGGGTTATGTGCAAAAGAGCAAAGTTTTTTTGATAAAAAATGGAATGTTATGTTAATTGGTTTTATATTTATCCAATTATTTTCACCAAAAATATTTCTTGAAAGTAAGAACCAAGCAAAAAATTGTTTTAATTAATAAGGCAACATAATGGTAGTAGCTTCTTTAAATATATTGTTAATTTAATTGTCATATTCCATTAATTCTATTGCTACAGTGGTATCTTTTAATGTTTTATAAATGATTCTATTATATGTTCTTTAATCTTCTAATGATGTCAATATCTCTTACCCTATTTAATAAGAATGTTAACCAGAAGCGTCCACAACTTATGGAGAAACAATATTTTATTTTTGAATGGCAGTGTTTAGTGAAATTTATTAATATGATGTAATTTTCAAAATAAATTCAAGTTTTCTGGGGAGTTGGCGTGCTGAACGTGCAGGGGGCACAGCTCACTTATAGCAGCACAATTAAGCGTGGGGTTTGAATCGCTACAAATGTTTGATGGTTTTTAACAAACTACCATAATCATAATATCTATGTACAGGAGTTTTCTTTTTTTTCTAAAACAATGTATACTTTTCTTGATTCTAAGTGAATAATTAATGACCTAATTAAACATTATATTTACATCTCAATAACAAATCATACAATTCATGAATGTATCATTAGTGTATTCTTCATTATGACGTTCCTGGTATTTTCTATATTTTGTTACAGTGATGTGTATATTCTTCAAAAAAAAAATTTACGTAATTTGTTTGTAAGTTTTCAAATGTTTTCCATCATTAGACACAAAATAGTATAATTTACTGCTGAGTAAATTTATATTTTTAAGAGAATATTTAAACGTTTTCAAATGTCAAAAATTGTTACAGTTGAATTTCTTTCTATAATATTTAAAATTTATTTCTCTACGGGAATATTATATCGTTTTAAATTTCATATGGATTTAGCGCTTGAAAACTACGTGACAATAATTGGTTATTCAAAAGTTATGTGCAAAAAATGTACTCAATTTACTCACTACAACAAATGAATCAATGCAATAGTTCTTCGAATAGTTTTCGTAAAATTAAATATCAAAATCTTAATAATTGAACACGTGGTCACATGCGATTTATCACTTAATTTACTACGAATCTGTAAGTAAGTGATAAATCTATATTGAGAAAACATATGACTATGCTTTATTGTTAACTTTTCTAGTTTTATGAAAATACAACACTGATACGTTTAAACATTTAAATAATACACTAGAAGTACGTAATTCTTCACAACTTCTATGAATGTGCTGCATGAGAAATATTAAGTTTCGTTTAGGTGTGCTATTAACATATAACAATTTTTACGTTTACTTGGCAAAAAATACTCAACGTGCCTAAACGCAATGGAGACATATTTAATAAAAAGACAGAAAAATTATGGTGTCTGTTAAGGGGTGCCAAAAAATAATTTAGTTTGTGAGAAAATTTAGAGGACTGTTGAAGGTTTGATCAAAGTTTGATTTAGTTACAATAACGAAGTAACAGAATGAGTTTTTTTGAATACTATAAGGGCTGCGCAAGAGCTAAAAGGGTATTTCGAGTGTTGAAGGGGAGAAGCATTATGTGGAGCCTCACTTACACTACTTTTTATCATAGTAAAATCCAAAATATACGCGCGTGCGCGCATATGTATATTTATGTATTTTTTCGTAGCTAAATACGTTAAAAGTACTTAGTTTTGTAACAGTTTTTTGCATATTCTATGTTTACGTGTTTATTTGATAAAGTTTTTTGATAAAATTGACAAACAAAGCTAACGAAACGTTCTACATTTTTTATTAAAAACATACATTTTTTTACAGTATGCATTCTAGTTCTCCAAAAATTTGGCAGAAAATTCAGCAAAACAACTTATTGTCCACATTTAAAAGCGTGGATGACACATTGCCCAACCGCTTATAAGCTTATATTTATTCTAATAAAATATTTGAGTTAAATAATAATTTAACTTGTGGCACTAATTCACACAAACAAGAAAAAAGTATTGTGTCTAAAATGTCTTATATTCTTTTAACATCTTACTAAGATCTAAAAAATCACTTTATTATATAAAGAGGTGAAAGCTGCTAGTGTACTACAAAGAATATACCTAAACATTCGATGACATGTTTATTATATTTAAGTGATTTCCGTAATACCATTACCATGTTTTCAAAGGTCTATTTCTTGTACTTATATCCTATCAACTATTTATATTGACTGACCATTAAACTAATTGTTTAGTCCCATTTATAACCAAACTATCGCAAAAAAGTTTTTCATAATTATGTGTTTGTTACAGAGTATCCAAATGGCTAAGGGCAATGCCACCATTATATTTAAAACACAATCTGCTGCTACAGTTTTTCACAATAGATATCAAAGGAGATTGTTAGATATGTCAACGATGAAAGTTCAACTACTGCCACAGACATCTGCTAAGTCATGTCAATGAGTGAAAATGGACCAGTACCTTGTGAAAAAAGTGTGAGTGTGTGTGTTTGTGTGTGTGTCCGCGTATGTGTGTATGTGTGTACATATATACATGTATAGAACTGTTTGGATGTATTTGTAAATATTTTTCAAAGTATAAGTCCTTAATATGTGTATAAAGCATCGATATCTTTTTCGTTGAAGAAAATGAGCTTAGATGTCATGTATGATAAAAACTAATCTTAATTGAACTATTGTAAAAAAAGCGATGCATGTGCTGTTGTTTATATGCATTATGATTGAATTTTCTTATGAAAATAAACTTTTATTGTGTATTGTAAATATTTATTTTTTTAATTTATTATTACATTAAGTAAAAAAAATAAAATTGAATGAAGTAACAATATTTTTGTGTATTGACATTTTTTGTTAAAATAACTCCTGTGTACCACATCTGTATAAAAACATAGCTTAGTGCCTTTACTATGTTACATTTCTTTACTTTATCATTAAGTTGTGTCCTTTGTACACAAATTCTTAATTTAAAAGCTTATTTTTGTACTAAGTAAACTGTAATAATGTTTTTGTATATGGTTCAAATATTAAAGAAATAAAACTAACATGGATAAAGTGGTTAGATAATACAGTTTAAGTGCTATAAAATACTGAACTGAAGTGATTTAAGTTACATTCAGTGTTATGATGGAAGGGTAAAATTTAATGACTTATAACTTACAAACCAGAAGATATTCACTGAGCTTTAATAACGAAGTTTGTTCCAAAAGTATTTAGAATACATTTTAATCTGTGCACCAAAACATATGACCATCCTCTATTAAATACCATTATAAACTGAAATTTTTTGGCACCTCCCTCGGTGTAACAGTTTTTGTCTAGATGTCATAGTTGGCACACAGCGTACATTTATGTACAGAGTATTTTTTGCGATCGGAAAATTTCTTTGTTGCTCAAAGTGACCTAACAAATTGAATAGCGAATTTGCATTTAGTTTTGCTTAAAAGTACTTGCGAGAAAACGGTTCAAACAATACAAAAAGCATATAGAGATAACTGTATGGGTCAAACATGTCTTACATGGGTAATTCTTTTACAAACTGGACACATTTCTTGTTTGGCTGATACTTTTTTTAGGGTATCTTTATCGAAAAAAAACACAAATACACATGTAGCAAAATACACAGTAACAAAGGTGGTTGAAAGATTGAGATTTTCGTGATTTTTGCCTTGGAGCCTCATTTTAGAAAATTCACAACTCCAGTTTTTTTTAAGCTAGAAAAAACTTTCTTTTCTTATTTTAAAGATGAACGCGTGAATTTTAAGGAAAAAAAATATTTCAAAAAGAACTTATAAAAATTTCATAATGTTATATCTAATAAAAATGTTAAAATCAATTTTTAACCATAGCTCCCAAACTTTAACAATCTCTTAATACAACCATCGTATTTTACATTGAATTTTCTACTAAAAATATACATTTTATCCATGGAGAAGTTATGTTTACTGGTAGAGGTACATTTATTTATATATCGTGGCACTTCGTATCAGGTACCTCTGCATGCCTCTTTTTCCAACCCAACATCGTTTGACGCTGTTAAATAAATAATCATTCAGTTATCAGTCTATTTTTTCAAATAAGTACAAATCGTTATCGGTAAACAGAACTTTATTATTAATTGAACAAAATAATAATATATTAGCTGATGAAAAAAGGATAACTTACAATTTTAATGAAATGTTTCTTAAAAATGCTATACATCAGTAGTTAATAATATTTGATAACGTAGTATAAATACATATAATTATAGAGAATAAATTAAACCACAATCATTAACGCTACAAAATATGTAAAGTAAGTAAAAGTACTTGTAAAGCACTAGAATTTTGGAGTGTCGATTGATTTAAACAAGGATTTATTGTTTTACTATGGGTTTCTAATTTGAATTTGGCGGATTTTGGTCACCAATAAACTTCAGATTGTGCAACGAGCTCAAGATAGACTGGTTGCCGTATCGCCCACCACTGCCAGTAAATCGCGTACATAATTAGGATCATATTGGGATTTGTTGTCACGTCTCGACTTACGTGTCTCAATCTATAGATTACGAAACTATCTTTGGAGTGAGCAGATAGATCATGTGTAAGACAGGTGAGGAAAATGTAATAGTTCAATTGTTAACACACAACGTATATAACAAAGCCCCACAAAAAAAATTTGCGGTACTTTGTAAGAGATACATGTCATCCTATGGGTTTTGAGCCGCTAATTCCGAACTTAAACTCAGAACAGCACCTTCCTCCATCAGTTTTTTAAATAACCTCAAAAAACCTAATTTTTGAGTATGTGATAAAAGTACATAGTTTTTATTTGGATTTTGCACTGCTGAATTAAAAAACAAAGTCACATTTTCATAAATACTGATAACTTAGCAACAAAACCTTTAAAGAAAAGTATAAACTCTCGTTTGTAATTTTTTAGGCACCATACACTCGTAGATTTTAAGGCGTGGAACCTGAAATTTTCACACTCAAAAAAAAAGTATACCTAATTAGACATTTGTTTTTTTATGTATTTAGAGTCACTGAATTTAAATATTTTAGAAATTATATCGTTTTTTACGATCATTAGTATATATAACCTTAAAAAATCTTATATTCAAGTGCTTGAGTTTCTAATATAACAGCATAATTTTAAAATGTTTTTAAAGGCACTGGACTGAGAAAAGTGCCAGGTTAAACATTGAGTAAGAATTTTGGTACAAGATTTCAAAACAAATCGAAGATAAGCATTTTTTCGATTTGCCACAAAAATCCAATACTTAGTTTGAATCAGTGTTCGTACCTCACAGTTGTTTAATGAAGCAATTTTTTTTTTTATCATAATGTGCGCTCTTGCATTCCAAAGACTTTCGTAGTGGCTTTCTTCGTTTTCCACTTTTTATCTCAGGCACATCCCTTTTTAATATCCAACAGTAATCTGCCATCATATTTTCATCCCATCGTCCTTGATATCGTTGTTCCATCACTTTAATATCTTGGTGAAGTCTTTCACCCTGTTCTTTACTGTAGTCTCTAAGATTTTCTGAAAAGTATTGTACCTGAGAATCAAGGAAATTAAACTTCAAATTCCTCAAACAATTCAGCTTTTTGAAACTGTCAACCATTCTCGATATATTTTTTTTCTATTCCGGACTGTTTACATTGCCCAGAAACTGTTCAACAACATTTTTGAAACCAAGCCTTGCTTTTTTCTCACGAGTTGCCATTTTTTTCACAAATGTAACGTCATTCAATAGCTGCCAAATTTGAGGACCGTCAAATATTCCTTCCTTTAATTTTGCATCAGACACTTGAAGAAACTGAGACGCTATATACTCGAAACATTGTCCCTCTTCATCTAATGCTTTCACAAATTAATTCATTAAACCTAGCTTGATATAAAGAGGTGGAAGGAGAACTTTTTATGGCTTTACTAATGGGTCATTGATGACGTTTTCAGCTCCTGGTTTCAGTAACAATCTTTGTGGCTAAATTTTTCCTTATAATTATTTGCACGATCTCGGCTATCCCATAAGCACAAAAAACATGGGTACTTTGTATTTCCTGATTGCTGCCCCAGAAGTATTGTGAGAACTTTGAAATCTCCACAAATTTTCCATTGATGTTGTTCGTACTTTATTTTTTCCAGGACTGTTTTCATATTTTTATGATCTTGTTTAAGGTTTGTTGAATGAGCTATTGGGACTGATGCATAAACGTTCGTGTTGTGCAATAGGACCGCTTTCAGGCTACGTTTAGAAGAATCTATGAACAACCTTCATTAATGAGCATTGTAAATTCCTAGTTTAAACTCATCCATCAGTTCATTTGTATCCGTGCAATAGACTAAAGACAGTTGACAGTTTTTGATTAAGATGAAAGTATTTTCGAAAAAAATTTTCTCTGTTCCAATAAAAACTGGACGTCGTTCCTTTTGCTAAATTACCTTTTTTCTCAAACTGGCAGCAAGGTGTTCAGCACCATCTTTAGATAATTCCAAGTCTCGAATCAAGTCATTCAATTCATCTTGAGTCCACGTCCCCGAACGTTTTGTTTTTTCGTTACATAAAGTGTATTCATCATCAGTTTCTTCATTTTCAGTACTGAAATCTTCACCATTGCTTGGGCTTTTTTTTTCCTCTGGCACGGTTTTCATTTTTTCAGAACAGGAACCAGAGGGGCCAGCCTCTACTAAAATCTAAGCATCTTTTTTCATATGTAGTAGTACTACCGAAGACATTTTTGTATAAAAATTCGGTTTTTTTGCTAAAAATTCCTTGGTTTTTTCCGTCGTTCATGCAGAAGTAACAGTCTTTTTCATCTCGTGGTTCTTTCCAAATTGCTAGTACAGTGAATTTTAATTTATCATTATCACCGTTCTCCTCGCATTTATACAACATTACATAACAAACGGAGCACATGATATGTGGAATCTAGCTTTCATTGCGCTCTTCAAATTTGACTTCAAAGTATTTCGTACACATGTTCCAAATTTTTTTGTTCATGTTTTTCCAATACTTCGGTGTTTCATATTTTGTACAAATAAAACAAAATTGATCCAGATTGCTTGTGCAAGTGTGTTTTTTTTATTGTGTTTTATTTTTAAAACCATGGTAGTTATAATTCCTACTCATTAAGAAATCTGGCCCGATCACAGGTGAATTTGCCGTCCTGGGGGTGATAACCCTCATACCTCCCCAGGGCTAAGTATGATAGCTTTCTGGCTTTGATGAAGACAATGTCAACTCATCGCCGGACACTCTACGGTTTCATTCTCACACCTGAATACCCCCCTTCAGGGTAGCGTGCTTTCACTGGCTTCGTTACTGACTGGGTTAGTAGATGAATCATTCTACACATCTCCTTCCGGGGTAGTTGTCATTATCCCCACTGCCCAGTACAGAAGCAGTTATGTGGATTGAGTTTCCGAATGAATCGAGTACACTGAAAAGTCGACATTTCTTGCTCCCGCCAATCGTGTGAAACTCATAGTTCAAAACTTAAAGTCATACTTGTATTAGAAAGGAAAATAGAAAATTTTATTCAGTAAACTGTATTAACAAGAAGAGTTTTCAATAAAAATATTAAGAGAAGAGTGTTGGTATTTTAAAGAATCTGCAGAAATTCATTCGTTGTTATATTGATCGGACTGAAAAGCAAGGTGGCGAAATTCAGAATATATGTATGAAATGACGATGTTATATTACAAATTGTCAAGA